AGGCTGGTTTCGAACTCCTGAGCTCAAACAATCCACCCGCCTCGGCCTCCCAGAGAGCTAGGATTACAGGCGTGAGCCACCGCGCCCGGCCTCAATATAATTTTAACTAAAGACAAAATATAAATGAAATTCATGCCAAATACATGCTGTCTTTATATACTAAACCTGATAATAGTTGTTTTTAATGGTAATTTAAGAAGATAGTTGGATGTTTGGGATAACGCTTTCAATTTTAGATTGTTTTAGTAATTTTGGAGAGAACTTAGCTTTTCTATTTTATGTTGCTTTTCAAGCTAAATTTTTGTATAAAACAGGCATCCCTAGGTATTTCATGGGATTGGTTCCAAGACTTCTCTTGGATGCTAAAATCTAAGGATGCTTAATTCCCTTATATAAAATGGTATAGTATTTGCACATTATGTACGTTCATTGTCCTGTATACTTTAAATCATCTCTTGATTACTTATAATACCTAATACAATGTAAATGCTGCATGAATAGTTTTATTATTATATTGTATTGTTTTGGGAATAATGACAAAAAAAATCTGCACATGCTCAGTCACAACCACCTTTTTCTTTTCTTTTCTTAAACCAAATATTTGCAATCTGAGGTTGGTTGAATCCAGGGATGTGGAACCCACGGATACAGAAGGCTGGCTATATTCTCTTTCCCTTCACTGCAGTTTTGTTAAGATCTGATTTGATGTGTTCAGTGCTTTTTGTATTGAGAAATGCCCTCAAATCGTACCATAGTTTGCTCTGGTCTTAACTGTTATAAGGAGTGGGACTTTAGATGTGTAGCCAGTGTGAGGAACTGAAGAACTCTTTAGTGACACCATCCTGGATATCTCTTTGCCCTGAGCCTTTAGCTTTTTCTTTCTTCTTCTTCTTCTTCTTCTTCTTTTTAATCCTCATTTAAAGATAAAAACCAAACAATTTAACATTGCTGCTTATCTAGAGCTTCTGTTTATCATGAGTCATTTTTTTGTCAAAATGCAAGGTGCCCTCTCCATGTCTTCCTTTGAGCAGAGTCTTATTAATCTTGCAATTGTGTGAATCCTGGAGGCCTAGCGTCATATTGTCTATGGTGGGTTACAACAGATATGCCCAGTTTCCTTGTCTGTGACGTGAAATGGTAACAGTGACTATATGTTCTGGTCAGCAGGTCTCCTTCTCCTCCTCCCTCCTCCCTTCCTCCTCCTTCTCCTTCCTTTCTCCCTTCTCCTTCCTTTCTTCATCCTCCTCCTCCTCATCTTTGTTATACTCTTGCACTCTCTTCTACAATTTAGGAAGAAGAGCCCTCAGGTTTCTCTATAAATTGGCTTTTTATCTTTTCCAGACCATGCTTAGTTACTATAAATACATAGGAAATTTCGCTGACACTTCACCATGAAAACCTTAAATACCGAAGCCAGGTTTGAGGTACTGGTTCCATAAAACAAAGCTCTTTGCGCAAGTGAGTTACCGTTCACCTGTTTTTCTTCCTCTTTTCTGCTAACACTTTGGAAAGTAACCTTTGGGGGATCTGATCTAACTCGGCAAATTTGCTCACCTGTGTGTAAACATCTCCCAAAGGTATTAATTTGCCAGCTTGATTATCCCAGAAGAATTGTCTTTTTTACAAGAATTGCTTGGTTTAAACCATAGACTTAACCTGAAATTCCAGACACGTGGGAAAGATGAATATCCTCATGCAGTGCCTTGTGTCTGGAAACGTGCCCAGGTGAAGAAATAAAAAACTTCTTCTTCACATGTGGGCTGCTTCGTTAGGGCAGAAGCTGGCACTGCAGCGAGGTGCTCTCGGTTTCCGCTCAGACCCCACCTGCTGGTCCCCGGTCCTGGCAGAGGTCAGGTTGGGTGTCACAAATGGACTGGCTGCTGAACTCATCACCACAGGTTGTGGGATTGAATGATCTTGTGGGATGTATCATATATAAAAATGATTTGTCATTTATTCAGCTTTTTACAGCTTTGGTGAAAGTGCTTTTGACTTTTCACCATTGATTTATTATGGTAAAATATATGCACCATAAAATTTACCTTTTTAACTCTTTTTAAGTGTACAATAGTCCAGTGGCTTTGAGGCCATTCCCATTGTTGTGCTGCCACCCCCACCATCTGTCTCCGGAACTTGTTCATCTTCCTAGACTGCAACTTTGTCCTCATTCTATACTAACTACCTCTGAATCTATGCATCTCATACAAGTGGAATCATATGGTATTTGTCATTTTGTGTTTGGCTTATTTCGTGTAGCATAATGTCTTCAGGGTTTATCCATGTTGTGGCATATGTCAGAATCCCTTTTTAAGGCCGAATAACATTCCATTGTATGACTATGCCACATTTTGTTTATACTTTCATCTGTAGGTGGACATTTGGGTTATTTTTGTCTTTTAGTTATTGTGAATAACACCACTGTGAAATTGGGTGGACAACTATCTGTTTTGAGTCTCTATTTTCAGTGTTTTTGGGTATATACTCAGAAGTAGAATTGCTGGTTTATATGGTGATCCTGTAAGTTTTCGAGGAACTACCATACTGTTTTCCACAGTGACTGGTATTATTTAGGTGGAGGGGGGTTTGTAAACATAGTTTCGAGGCTCCGTAGTTGGAGTGCTTTCAGATGAATCCTAGTTTTCTTCTTTCTAGCCATCTGCCCTAGGTAAACTGCTCTAAGTTGAATTGTCCTCAATTGTGGAATAGTACCCAACTCACATTTTTGTGGTGAGGATTAAATGAGTTAATCTGTGTAAAGCATTTAGCTAGTGTTCACACATTTCTGTTGTTTTTGTTATTGGCACTCAATTACAGAACATTTTTATATACATAATTAGACGAAAAGGAAGCATGGAATCTGAGTGTACAAGTGTATAGACGTAATGATTAGGATAGGATCCCACTGATTGGAGATGTACAGGGAGGGTATTCTATTTTTTTTCTTTAAGGCTGGTCGAGTGAAGCAGTGAGAGTGGAGAAGAAACAAAGGAATCTATAACCGATTGTGATCAATTAGTTGTAAACACCACTGCACTTGGAGGACCAACCATAGGGAGGGCATTCTAGACAGAACATGCTTGAACAATGCTGACATGGGAAAGTAGACAGGGTGTTTGGGGAATGGCAGTAGCACAGTTTGGTGTAAGAGTTGAAGAAAGCAGTAGGAGGTAAATCTAGTAAGGCACATTGGGACCAGATGATGGAGAACCTTGATCATGAGCTTAAGGTACTTGGGGTTTATTTACTTGGCAAAGGCAAGCCACTGGAAGTTTTTGGGTAAGGAAGTTAATGATCAGGGTAGCGATTTCGGAAAATGCATCTACTAGTGGCTTAATGTATATGGCTACTCATGTAATTGGGGCTCACATGGTGATAATGACCTTGGAATTGGAAAGGAGAAACCAGATCTGGGAGTTGCAGTCTGAGTATTCTAAGGGCCATTCATTCATCTACTTATTTTCCCCACTTTGCCCATTCGGCAAAGCATTTAGTTATAAGACTCAGAGTTGTAGGTCATTGTAAGAAAATATTATTTGATCTAATGCAGGTAAATTGATCTAGTAAACTAATGTGTAGAAATAAGTGTTTAAAAAATTAGCAAAATGAATTAGCATGAAGAGCTTTAAAAATATTGTAACATTCATGATGGATGGAGAAAGGAAGAGTAGAAAGGCACTTGCCACGATGTGTTAGAAGGGGGAAGAGTCATAGGAAATCGTAGGAAATTGTAGGAAATCGTAGTTCTGAGAGGAATCCACAAATCCAGTCAGTATTGAAATTTGGATGGATCTCTAGGCATTGCTATTTTTGCTGAATATTATTCTTCTAAAATTTTGGAAGGAAGTACCCCAAACTCCATCATCCTAAAATGGCAAGTATTTTTGTAGATTCTCTTCCAATCTCTGCCCAAACACATATTTTATGTAGTTCCAATCTTCCGTATATACAGTTCTGTCTATATTGACTTTACTCTTACTACCTCATTGTCCTCATTGATAGTCCATCAAAAGGATTGCCTGTGTTTATTTGTCTCAGGGTGAGATATGTGTGTTATCACAGCCTAAGGCCTAACTTTGACTTACGTCAGCAGTCTGCAGCTTTTTTAGCACCAGGGACCAGTTTCCTGGAAGACAATTTTTCCATTTGGGGGAGAGAGGCAGAATCCAGGCCGTGATGCAAGTGATGAGGAGCGGCTGTAAATACAGATGAAGTTTCCCTCCTGCTGTGCGGCCCCCTCCCTCCCGGTTCCTCAGTTTCGTGGAAGACAATTGTTCTATGGATGGGGGTAGGGGTCGGAGCTCAGATGGGTATGTGTGGCCTGGTTCCC